ATATATGCTTGTAAGTTTTCTATTTGTCTCAGGCAAATCAATTTAATTTTTTGTTAAATTATTATTTTTTTTTATGGCTTATCTGTGTTTTAGTCATTTTGGCTGTGAATGGTTGTGAATAATATTGCAAAATTGCCGTCAAGATTGCATTAAACTAACCTCTGTTAGGTTCCTCCTAAAGTTGATATTCATGTTAAATATCCACACTAATCATTTCTGACTTGAAACCAGATGTGTGGGAATAGTGGTTAGAAGTGAATTCAAACTAAAGCTACACACACGGACTGTAATTCATTTCCTAGAGCATATCCTGCATTTACAGAATAAAGTCTGTGATCAGCGATCCAAGACGTCCTGGGAAGCGCTTGGAACTAGTAGGGAATTTATTTTATGAATTCACTGGGTTTGAATGAATTTGAAAAAAAAAAAAAGACAGGGTAATATAAGTAAAATTTGATTGTTTTCAGGCTTTATTCTTAGCAACATTGTTTAATGCAGTTATCAGTTGTTTCTTCCTTATTTCTTTTATTCAGTCTTTCTTTCCTTTTTTCATTCTTTGTATTTGTCCTTCCTTCATCCTGCTACCCCTCTTCCCGTTTTCCTTCTACGTTTGTCATTCCTTCTTCCCTATTCTCCTTCCCTCCACATATCCTTATTTCTTTTTTTCATTCTCCATCATTTCCTCCATTTCCTTATTTTTCATACCTTCTTGCTTTGCTTTTGTCCATCCTTTCTTCCTATCTGCACTGAGCAGATGTACTTTAGAAATGAGCATAAACGTTAACGGAAAACTCTGCTAATTATGTCTGCAATAAAATCTTTAGAAAGCCTCTTAGACTTTCAATCCAAACGTTGTCTCAGTTCTGCTGATGGGTGTGGCATTTACATACATGCGTATATCTGAGTTATTTTAATGTATCTGAAGGTGTTTCAGCGAAAAACAAATAAAAAATAAAACCTGCCCCGCCTGTCGTCTCTGCCCTCTCCACATCACGCTTAATTTAAAACCATGGCTGGCTTAGTGTGCTGATTCAAATACCGCACTATGTCTTCCAGCACCCTGTGGGAGATTGGCAGGTCCCATTTGGACCTGGTGAGAAAGAGCCACAAGACAAAAATATCAGAGTTTGGACATGATGAAGACAGCCTTTATGCTCACAGTAACATAAAACATCTTGTGTTGAGCACCTCCTGGATGAAGGGTGAGGAACCTTTTTAGGTGACAGTGAGTTGGTGGCAGTGCATGAGCAGGTTAGATACAATGGGATCTGAATTGATTTGGTGTAAATTACACAAGACGATGCGTACCATGGAGCGAATCGTGTTTTTTTTTTTTTTTTTTTTTTTTTCCCTGTTTTTTTGTTTGGTTTTTTGTTTGTTTTTCCGTCTGTTTTCTGGGAG